GGAGGTTATGAAATCATTAATCAAGGGAGCTGGAGTGTGGCCACATCTGGCCAGCTGAGAATCCCCCCAGCAGAGGGAAGTATTTGGCCAACTTAAAGCTGCTGCTGGAACTGATCTTTGTAGCTAGCTGGTGGTGTCCAGTATGTGAGGGGCAGGCGCAGAGGAAAGGGAGGGTATGGAAGCAAGAAAGAGTAGTTTGTCTCAGGTAGTCCTTAGCTGACATTTACCAGGGCTCCTCTAACTCAGAGCAAAGATCAGGAGCCATAATGCTGATTTCCATTTGTTAGGGGAAATGACTTTATATAGATACACCCTGAAACTGTGCCTTCTTCCTCTCTTGCCCTTTGGTGCAAGAGAGAAAGGATCAGTTTGGAGGGTTTTTTTTCTTCTTTTTTTTTCTCTAGAATTGCCTGGTGTTTCAGTTGACACTCAAGATATACATGGCTTTTTCCTTCCTCTTTTGGTATGAAATGCAATAATATGGTGCAGGTGAGCTAGTTACAGATTGGGGGAAGTGTCTGAACACTGAATTGAGTTGCTTACTGAGCTTGCACAAGCAAATTTGAAGGCAATTTAATCTTCTTACAAGTCTTTCAGGCAACACCTTGGCAATTTTTATATTACTAAAACAGTAAACTGAACACCGAGCACTGTTTCTTCAAATACTATACCTAGTTGATGTGCATATAGTTGATTGCGTAAGAATCACTTTCTTTTAATGAGAGAAAATAACTCTGTATATCTGAGCTACATAAAGAAGTTTTGATCCAGACTGGGATTTGTGGGCACTCTGTAATGTAAAACTATAGTGTCTGGATTGGGATTATCAATTCCAGACCAACTGAAGGTTTTTGTATACCTTCTACATGGCGACAGGTGTGTGTTCAAATCCCCTCCCCCCCCTTTTTTTTTTAATTTAGTAAATGACACTAATGAGTCTGTATCTTAAAATTATGACCCTTGACAGAGACAGGGTGTTCTGTATAAACAGAAACTCGTGTCAAGCAGCAACTTGTTTATACCAGCTTTGCTGCCAAAACTGTACTCAAAAACAAAATTTGTCAGGATGCTGTTTACTGAACTATGGAAGCCTCAGGTTATTTACGTATTTCGTCTGAAAATTGAGTTCAGTTTCTCTGATCACTGCATTGCGTGATGATGATAAACGATACTTAACCAGATTGTTATGCCAGTGTGCAATGCACTTGGCCTCTACAGATAACAGCCTACAATCAATACTCATTATCATTGAAAATGTGAGGTACAGTGACTTGTTTCTTCCTTACACATGTCCCTTCCTTACATGTTGCAAGTTCAGGGCCAATTATCTGAATTCTTAAGCAGTTATCATTCACACAAACTTTTACTGTATTTTTTTAATGGGAATTTATCTGGGTGAAACATAGTAGGTCAAGTGGGTTTTTGCGAATGCATGTGGGTAGGAAAAGGGTAGATATAGTGGGTAGGAAGAGGATGGAGCTGTATGAACATTAAAAGGTGACTGTCTTGGAAATTTGTCCATACACAACTGGTCAGAGTTTGTTTTAAATTAGATCTTGCTGTCAGTAAAATCTTGCCGGTATTTTTTTTTATTTATTAAAATTTGCAAGTCCTGCTTAACTTTGGCTTTATTTAGCTCCTCCTTGGTGAAGTTTCACATTCTCAAGGGATCTGCACATTTCCTTGCACTGCTTAGTTGGGGAAGGGGATGAATAGTGACCACCACCCATCTGTGACACCAGACTAGGAATTTTCTTGTGGTAAGCTGTGACTCTCCTTTCTCTTCCTCATCTGAAAAATTAAGTAGTAGGAAATGATCGTAGTTAAGTGTCTGTGGTGATACTCAGATGGGAAATCAGCAAGATAGTAGCTAGGAGAGGTCATTAAGGTGAATTAGGACAGTAGGAGTGAAGAGATGAGAAAGCATATCACAGAGTGTGAGATAACACACTTTCTTATCAGGACATCTGGCACAGTAGATTTACTTGTCTGTCTGTTTTATGCCTTGGTCAACAGGGTCCTATGATTCAGAAATCAGTAGAGGGCAAGTAGAGAGACATGATTCTTGTTTGGGTGGTAATGGCTCTGTAAAATACAACAGCTGTATATCTCATAAACATGGGCAAAGGAAAATTCCTTTTGAGGTGTACAGCATTGTTGACACTTTGCAGATTTGGGGCTTCTTTATTTTCTTAGTGTGGTACCGCAATCATTTATTGGTGGGATATGAGACGTACCTTCACAGCTGCCTCTGCTGCATGCCCATCGTTCATCATCACGAAACACTCCTGGGTGCTAACAGCAATGAGAAAAGTTCATGTTTGTCGGTGGCATGGGTCAGACATGCTTTGAAGGAAGCTGCTCCAGCAATCTTCGTCTCCTTACCGTCCCTGCCTCCTGTCTGTCCCGCCTGGCTAGTTCTTGCAGCTCTACCATTTAATTATCTTTGCCTCCTTACCCAGGCTCTTGGTTCCCAGCTCACTTGAGTAATTTATCCAGTGCTCTTTCTCCATTCCTCCTGTCCTGCTATGGCCAAGTTGTCACCTTTTCTTTTCCCTTTGTACCTGGAGTCACCAGGTGGTGCTGTTACACAGTTAAATGCCCTTCTTTGCATTGCAGTGCTGTGCAGCCTTTGGGAGAGCAGTTTTAGGCTGTTTAGTTTTGATGTAGTTTCTTTTGTGGGTAGCTGTGTCAAGTAGCAAAGGATTTTGCTCTCTGCTGTGGGTTTTGTCTTGAGTCAATTTTTGAAGCAAAGTTATTTGCTGTGAATTGTCAGACAAAGCATTCTCTGTTTGTATCGCAAAAAGGCAGGACTGCTTCTATGCGGTTTGTGACTATGCTGTTGTACTCAAAGGCTGCTTTACTGTAGTGTAAAGCGTAAATAAGTCTAAAGATGTCCTCAGACTTTGCACTGCTGGGTTCTCCCCAGGAATTTTCTTGCAGGTTCTTTGGCGTCTGTTTCCACTCGGGAGGAGAGGTCTGTGCGAGCCCACGTGTGTGCGCGCGTACGTGTGACTGCTACCTGAAAGGTGCTCCTCTTATTTCTCCAGTCATCCTCTCATCTTGCTAGAGTTAACTAGAACGATAGCACTTTATTTCCACCTGTTTTTTGTAAACATCATGCTCTTTTTTGAAACTGTAGAGGCTGAATAGCTGATGCCCCCAAAAGCCATAGTTTGAGACAGAGGAATGCAAATCAACACCAAGTTCCCATCTTCTTTTTCACCAGGCTAAGCACATTTTCCTCTGCAGCAGTCCCTACCGCATGCCTGTAAAGGGCTTACGAAATTGATTGATTGAGATTCTGCTCTTTGATCTCAATTTAAAATCTTAATTTCTCCTGGCAATTTAGCTACTGCTCTGAATTTGATATCTTGTGTGGAGAAGGGAAGGAAATGTGTAAGAAAAGATGCAGAGAATTAGCTAGAAATTTGACATGGGAAAATTGTTTGTTAATAATGCTAGAAAAACTGTTATTTCTCCAGTCCAGCCACATACTAGCATGGCAGTGTGCTTAGCTGCTGCTTTCTATAGTATGATGCAATGATTAAACATATAAATTAGAATTAGAGTATGGAGGGTTTTTTTGACTTAAGTGGATGAGCTTTAAAAAAATTGCAGAGCTGGGCATTCCAATGCTTTAAATCTACAGGCTGACTTAATTTATTATTATTATTATTTTAATAGTTCAATGTTGCTGTTCATGAGTTATGCTGAAGAAAAAGGAGCTGAGGTAGCTAGAGAATTGACCCCCAGGCCACGTTGTCTTCATCGATCACGTTTCTGTTTTGCCTCATTATTATTATTATTGTTTTCTATATGAGAGTTATTAAAAATAGCTTTGAAGGAAGCACCATTGTTTTTCCTTTTCCTTCTCAGTCCCCCTTTTCACAGATAAAGATTCCTTTTATTCCCATGCCAACTTTACAAAAATAGGGTTGGCAGGTTATAGAAGAGCAGCCGTGTACATAAGCTCTGGATGAGTCAGTGTGTAGCAGTCGTGTGGGCCGCTTCTTGGTTTCTCGGATAGTTCAGCTGACTGCTAATCCTGTCACCCAGTGCTACTACAATGTAAAACAAGGATTTGTTCCTTACTGCTGATCTAATGCCGTTTCAGTGGACTTTGTATTGAGGAAAGATAACTCTCTTTTTAACTGTCTGTGTCATTTTTCCAGCAAAGTCTCGCCTTCTGTCAAGGTGATAATGTTTTTTCTCTTGAGTCCCCACTTTTGGAGCAGTCTTTCTACATTTCAAATCTTTGGCTGAAGCTAGTGGAGTGAAGACAGTTCCAGCTAGCTGAGGAGAAGTTGATGAGTCCTGGTTTGTTATATCTAAATGCTAGGTGAGAGAGAACACTTGGGCAAATTCTTTCGAAAACCAAATGTTTGGGGAACAGAGGAGGGAAGGAAAGGAGGAGAGAGGAGCCAGTCTGCTCACCTTGAAGTTCTTCAAGTTGCAGCCATGACTGTCCATGCCTTCCACTCAGCGTGAAGAGCTTGAGTTTGGAGCCCTAGTTATGACAGCAGGATAATGCCAAATAATCTTAGAAGCACTCCAGGGAGACTTTGGTTTTGTATGACTGTGTGTATACAAAGATACGATCGTTTCTAGGAACATTAGTTAATTGTTAACGTTAGCTACTGTACAGATATTATCTGTCTCGGTCCCATCTCTCCCATTTCTGGCCAAGCACAGCACTTTGATAGGGTGATAAATGGTTTAGGCCTTTGGGTTTGGTTTTGAAATTTCTGATTTGGTGAGGCAGTGGTGTTGGTTGGGGTCTCTGGGCATATTTCTGATACAAGAAGGTAGATGGAGAGATTTTAACTAACATTACAGTCCAGGAATGGGGTGGAAGGGGTCGAAAATATTATTTCTTTGTCTTTGAGAAAGCAAAAGATACAGGAGATTATTAAAGAAGGTATATAAGAAGGTGTATTTGAAACTTGAGCATTTGGGTTTTCCGTCTTTAAAAGATTACTGGGCTAAGATCTGGTCGGATGCAGCGGCGAGAAACTGTCTCAATGAGTGTGGAGAGACCTGTTAACTATGAAGGAATCTACAAAATAGCAAAGCAAGTAAGACTGCATTTGCTGGCTCCAAGTACAGTAGATAGCAGAGAGGTTATCCGTGCCTGAGTTTAATTGCACAGTAGGATGTGTGCAGGATGCATGCGAAAGGAAGCCGCATGCTGAATAATCACATTGGCAAGGGAGCCAAAACCTGGCAGCAGATGTTTTGCTTCGATGGCTGTGTGGGAATAGGAGAGGTGCACAGGATTATGTAGACACATCCAGCTCGGAGGCAAAGCAGAGCTGGCGATCATTGTAAGCATTTTACTAACCAATGAGGACAAACAGAAAAGAAGTAGAAAGGATGAGTTGATACATTGTACGCTCAGAGGCCAGATATCTGCTTGCCAGGGCTTATTTCTACTTTTCTATTTTAAAATGGTTATTAGGAGTACACGGGTGATATTTGAGGTGCATGTAAATACCAAACCAATGAGCTCAGCATTTGACTATCTCTTAAGGCACTTAAGTTGCTCACTGTTACTGCAGTGGCTGCAGGCTTTACAACTGTCTCTACCTTAAATTCTCATAATGCTGTTGCAAGGTGAAATCAAGTAATTATTATTCTCATGTAACAGTTAGTGATTTCAGATTGATTGAGCCAAGTCCTGAGCTTATAATTTCTGTGCTAAATACGATCCTTGCAACACAAGGAGGGAAGGCTATCTTGTAATATAAGAAGACTGACCTGATTGGGGGTGGAAAAATGTCTTTGAGAACAAGCAATGCACTTCCTACTTGTAGAGAGAATTGGATGTAATCTAATTCTAGTGCACAACAGAGGAAAAAGCCTTATTTTGCAGCTAACTCATGCTGCACAGTACCATCTTTGGCCTGAAATTATGCTGGCAATTACAAGTGACGTGTAGGATGTTTACTGTGGGGAAAGTTGACACAGATCATTCCAACTTTATAATATACTGACCTACTTAAAAGATGAGAAAAGATAGCAATAACAATGCATAACCTTGAGCTTAAAAGAAGGGTATATGACAAACAGAAATGTAGGCTGGAATGTTCTTGTATGGTTTACATGGAGAGATGGCCAAAAGAACAGCAGTGTTTTGTACTGAAGAAGTGAGAAACTGCAAAATAATTGTTCTCCCCCTAAAACATAGTTGCATCAACATCAGTGAGTTTCTGTTCGGATCCCGAGTAACTGAGTTCCAGGATTAAATGAGAGTGTTATGCGCTTTTGGCAAATCGCTTTCATTTAGGAAGGTGCGTGATAACACATTAGCAGTCCTGGAGGCCAGCTCTTGCCTCCAGTTCCTTGCTTTCAGAATTTGCTCTGCAACTGAGTGTCCCACAGACTATTGCAGTAATTGTCTATATCACTGTAAGACTGTATCTGATCCTGTCTGGAGCTCTTGTTGCAGAAGTACATGCTAGGCTTATGCAAGCTCTTCACCAGAGGTCCCAGGAGTAGTCATAAAGTCAAATGCCAGTTAAAGGTGGTGGTGATGGGGCAGAACTGGGGAGGAGGCTCTGTCATTTGGTAGAGAGACTGTCTGGGAGGTGGCTCCATAGCTGAAAAATCACGCTGCTCCTTTGGGAAGCAGGTGTGCCCATGGCCCAGTTCCATAACTCTGGGACATATGTCCAGCAAATCAACAGGAAAAGGATCTTCTCCAATAATCATGTTGTGCGTCCTGGATTTTTTTTTTCTCATTATACAGGGCTGTACAGAAAACTGGAATTTACAAAAATTCTCTGTCCTGAATGTGCTACATATTCTTTTGAGCACAGAAGCAAGGCTTCAGAGCACCTCAGCCTGCATTCCTCTAGTGCAGCCTAAAGTCTCAGGCAGCTTTACGAAGCAGCTGAGAGCCAAGGTGTCAATCTTAAGAGCTACTCTTGTATTTTCATCTGTGTGCTTATGCAGCGGTGGGGTTTGCTCACTTGATACATCTTACAGATGGAAAAACTGAATACAGCAAGAAGCTATTTGTTCTTCTTCCTAGCCACCATTGCTCATGAATAGCTACATTTTCACTGGGACAAGCCTGACACTTGGCAGATTCAGATGAGTCCCAGTGGTATGTCTGAACCTAGGTCTCCTGAAGGGTATTATTTCTCCTTACAGTAGTGTCTTCAGACAAGTAAGTGATACTCAAATACAGGGAAGGTCGTGTTTAAGGCTAGCAAAAGTTTATTGGGTATAATGATTCTTGGATTAAAATACTGCCCTTGGAAACTATGATCAGGAATCTGTTGTGCATAACTCTCCTTGTATGTTCATACAGTTGATAAAAATCCAAAGCAAGTTTCAGATGCTCTGCAAGCTGCCTGCCACAGCCTTACAGAGCAGCTGTAACTGGATTAGTAAGACATGGAAAATATTGCAATACTGCTTGCTTCTGATGGCCTGAATAATGATTAAAATGTAAATGGAGAGCATAGAGGACTAAAGCAAGCTGCAAATGACAAAGCTTCACAGTTTTTTTTTTTTTGGTTTGTTTTTTGGATGATTTTTTAGTTTTTTGCCTCGTATTGGAAGTTAAAAGATAGTAGTATTCCTATACTCAGGCCTTACCATCTGCCTTTGGGTTAAGGATTGGCATGTCAGAAAGCAGCAAAGATGCAGACTAAATAGCTCAGTGCTGCATGCCAAACCTTGCATGAGGACATTCTTCCTATAGATTGGGCTTGACCAGAACTGAGCATACATTTCTGCAAAATCCCAGCAATACTTTATGGTGCAGGCTTAGCAATTTGTTTGATGGTAGCTAATAAAACGCTAACCATCTGGCAGTACTGCATGTGATTGAACTGCTATGAATTTTCAAATGCCATCAAAAGTCCTGCTGTGGATAATGGGTATGGGCCAGGCAGTTTGAACTATAAATCTAAATCTAAACCATGGCCAAACCTTACAGTGGAAAGAACAGTTATTTTAATATGCAGAAGCTAAACTGCCAAGTCAAAGCCAGCTGTATTATACAGCACTGCCTGGTAGAGCTACTAGAATGAAGTACTAGGCCTCTCCACGTTCACTTTTTTATTTATTTATTTATTTTTAAGTCTCATTGATTATTTTTCTTCTCCGGGAGTTTAATCTGTCTTTCTACCTCAGATTTGACTGGCCAGTTGCAGAGATTTTGAGGGCCTTTTTTGCAATTAAAATATCACGTGGTAAAGATAAAGGACAGTTTTCTCCTTTTTGGCAACTTCAGGCAATTAAAATGTTTTTATCTCTACATCTTAATTCCTTCAACAATGAAAATTCTGTGCTCTGCAAAGCAGGACCACTGCTTCTTGTCTGTCTTACCGTTGACAGGAATGAAATCGGCATAACAAAGAGGAGAATTTAGCTTGGGAAATCTTGAGCATAAACTGATTACTTTGTTACTTTTCAGTTAGTAATAAGCCAGCCAAGAGATTTGTCGAGTGCCATGAATATGTGCCTGGAAGCCAGGAATTGTTCCTTATTTCACATGCCAATTTCCTCTCTGAGCTGAGGTCACATTCTTTCCGTGAGAGTGATACAGCTTTTAACTGTACCCTTGCTCTGCATGTTTGATATAGCTTTTTTTTTTTCCTCTTTGTGTCTGGAGCTGATGACACAGGACAGCATTATTTCATTCAAAGGTGCATCGCGAGGATCAACAGTGGGCCAAATTTGACCACTGCTGTCTCTGGTGCATGTAAGAATTTATTGCACCCCTGGATGCTAACTTGACCTGCAGAAGCTTCAAAATAGTTTACTGGTATTGCCTTTTGCCTACAACCTGGGTTTTCATTACCGTGAGCAGCCTTGTAATTCCAGCTGCATATGCGCTGAAGAAGGTACGCCGGGAGAGGCTATCTGGGGCATACCGTTAAATCAACCCTGATTACGTAGGTCGTGTTCTTGTTCTCTTGACCAGCGCTCCTTAGAGGAAGGGCTGAGCTGTCAAATGTTTGTGATGCCTTTGCAGTTAGGGTAGTTAGCAGGTGATCCTTTGGGGAGCCCCAGCACCAACTGGCTCTAAGGGACAGAGATATTTCCATTGTGAGGGTTTGAGGGTGCCATGCTGAGTTCAGTAGAAGCCTGATGAGGCCTGGAATAGGTTTTTTGCTTATAAAGAAAAGATAAAGAGTTGTCACTTTCAAGTATTGCTTGAAATACTATATTGCAATACAATATTGCTTGATACTACTGTTGAAAAATAAGGTGTTTTTTCTGTTTTTTCTGAACCCTGAAAGTTAATAACCTCTGTGATCATTCTTTTTGTGATATATGAGTAACACGCGTTAAACCCAGGCAATTTTAATGAGACATCTGCCTGTAGATCTTGCCACAAATGAATCCTAGTGATACAAGAAATGCTTTAGAGGGAGAGATATTTTTAATTTTGTAAAATTTATACAGATTGAAATACTGTGGGTCAACTCCTAGCGTTGTCTAAGTCGACAGCAAAGCTCCTGCCCCTCCAAAGGAGCTACGTATTTTATCCATATGTTGTAGAGATCAGCTCTCCTTTACTTCTGCATGCAGATTTTTGTGGCATCCATCACCAGAGTATCTGAACTGCCTTTTAAAGCTGAAATGGGAAGTTAGTCATGAGATCTGTAGTGGTTACAAGCCAGATGTTCTTTTTCCTTCTTTTCACTTTGAAAGTGGGAGGACAGGAGGGAGTTTCTTCAGTATGTTTGTTCTTAGCATGCTGTTTCCTCTTGTGAAATACTGTATGGTAGTCTAGTTTTATTTGCATTTCCAAAACCCTCGAGTCATAAAAGGATTTTTGCATGGTTTATCTTATTTTACATATATTAAAGAAGCCCTGCTTGTTAACCCAGCATAGAAAGATACTGCATACTCAAGAATGAAATAGCTGCTGCAGCAATGTGCATAATTATAGGACCGCTGCTTAGTCATCAGTCACAATGTGTGTGGATTTTTTTTGTGAATTCAACATTTATTCCAATTTGGATGTAAAAATAATTTACATGAAGAGTTTAGTTTGCTCAGCACATTAGGCCTTGACCCATCTGAATCCATTAAAAGCTATTATAATAGCAAG